CGATGACTGCGGCCGTCCTCCACCTCCACCTGCTCCTCTGGTCCTCACACAGCCTACCTGATAAGAGATTGTCCTCCACTTTCACATGTGCGACCGCGGCCCAGCCAATGGTGTGCTCCCATAAAGACGCTGTACGCACTTCTGCATGTGCCGTGTCTGGCGAGAACCCGGTGTACCGGGTGATTCAGCGAAGACGCAGGTGCGTGCGGGTTTGCCTACCCGCTCTGCCCGTAAGGCGCAAAAGAGCCACGAAGTATTGGGCGTACTAGTACCGGGTGATTCAGAGAAGACGCAGGTGCGGGCGGGTTTGCCTACCCAAGGGGCTATGGCGCCTTACGGGCAGAACGGGTAGGCAAACCCGCCTGCACTTGCGTTCCCTCTGGATTACCCGGTACGCGCAGGCGACACTCGTGTAACACGCACTCCCTGGCAGATGCGCGACCTGGTGAACCGGCCCACTTTCCTGCTCCGCAAGAAGCTCGACAACGCCTTGTACGCGCTGCTGCCCGACGTGTGGGTGCCGCTGTACAACGCAGTCACCTTCTCCGACATGCGCTACTCAGAGTGTGTGCGCAACAGGATGTGGCAAGATCAGGTATCGTCAATTGACTAACTTGACCTTTACAGCCCAATCATTAGGAAAAAAATTATGAATGTGTGATGTGGTTTTTTTTCTCTTTTGCTCCTAGGTGATCAGAGGCTTCTTTCTGACTCTGCTAGTCTTTGGCTTAATCCTCATATTAACAGTCTTTTTAAGGTCGTGAACAACAATGTGTAAATGAGCCACTAAAATCAATTTTCATCTTTGTGGCTTAACGGGGATTTGGTGTGAATACTTCAAATACCTCCAGTATTATGATTCATTCCAAATAGAAAGATACCATTGGGAAAATACTTTTTTTTAATAAGTTGAGCTAGTATAAATAGAACACCAAACAAAACAGATCAACAATAAAGTACATAAAAAAGGGGAAACCATATCCAGCAGTCTATTTTTTTCACAACGAATCACTAAACCTTAATACTTATTGCTAATACATCTAAAACCACTTGCACCAAGTTGGAGTTCGTGGCTTCTGGTACTGCTCTTAAATTAAATTTATCACACCGTAGTCTCATCACAACCATTTCATGCTGCTTTCTTGCAGCAGTTGTAGAGTCTTAATAATACGTAGGAATGGACACAGTAATGGTTACTCTAGAACTGAAGTACGCAGCAAATGGCAGAGGGTGTTGCGTTCTTCTCTGATATCACTCGTGTATGGTTTTGAGCAAAATTAATTTACGTATCTTTGGTGGGCCGCTTCACTCGAACACGAGGGGAATGTCGACTCCGCCGTTGTACTTGTGCTTGTGCTCGTCATACAGCGCCCTCAACGCGACGCAGAAGCGGGCGTGCAACTCCTCGATCTGCTCTGAAGTCGGGTTGGGCACGGCCTGGACATCGATGGGCTTCCCCACTGAAAAATGGACGGGAGTATGAAAATAAAATTTCAGCGAATAACTCGTTATATTTGTAGGGGGGGGGGGGCAACTTACCGACAACGGTGACGGGTTTGCGGTGAGGCAGCAGGCCGAAGGTGTACTGGAACATGCCGCGGCCGCGAATGATGACGGGCGCCATGCCGATGTGCTTCCGGAGCATCTCCTGGAAGCGGTAGAACTTGGAGTCGGTCTCGCCTTGCACCTGCTCATAGACCACGTGCTCGCCGAAGGAGAAGACCGGCACCAGCGGGGACCTGGAAACGGAAGCAGAAAACGAGGGCATAAAATACAAATTTGTGATTTTGGTTATGCCTCTGCGTCTAAAATTCACAATTTGTGAACCACTTAAGGAAAGAAAAAAAAATGAAGGGAAAACGCTTGTCATGTGTATATAGGACACGATAAGAATCGAGTGATGTCTCTCGTGATGTCCTCACCCTCCATCCGATTTGCCAATGCCTCACATCATACGATCGCATCGCGACGCGTGAGTGAGCGATTAGATAATTAGATAGTGGAAATAACATGAGTCTCGCCGAGTCAAAGCCGTTCACATTACGGTAAGTACGGTACACCCGTTTTTTTAAAAAAGGGGGGAACGCGACAGGGGGAGTAAGGAGGGGCACTTGAAGGCAGCACGATTAGTACTCTTGTGGTGACGTATCGTCTACGAACTGCGAATGAAAGAAAATCCGTGTTTTCCACGTGCACCTACCCGTGTCTGAGCGCCATCTTGCAGAAGCCCTTCCTCTTCTTGATGAGGATGCGGTACATGTCGGGGCGCGAGAGCAGCGCCTCGGCGGCGCCGCCCACCACCAGCCCGATGATGTGGCCGCCCGTCGGGATGCTCAGGTGGTTGCTGATGGCCTCCGGGGCAGCGGACAGCGCGCCTGGAGAAAGGGGGTGAAAGGGGCTTCGTTAATCGCTGCAAGCTTTTCGTACTTCCTCATTCCGATCCACGCAACTCCTTTTCCGAGAACTGAAGCGACAAAAAGCGGGACTACCGGGCAGCACTAGCTGGACTCCTCCAGACCTCCGAGAGGGAAAGGCGGGGGGCTTCCCGGTAGTGGAACCACCATAAGGCACTCACCCAGGCTGATGCCCACCTCCCTCGAGAAGGGGGAGTAGAAGTGCTGGTGAAGGCTGAGGAGGTGCATCTTGTGGTCCGGGTACACCTTGTCCACGTCCAGGGCGTTGGTGCAGAAGGCCGAAAAGACGCCGGTGGACAGGACGCCGTGCGGGTAGATGCAGAACAGGTAGTTGCGCTTGGGGTCCAGCGGGGGGGCCGTGTTCACCAGCGAGTGCGGGAAGTAGGCCGCGTAGTAGCGCCACCAGGCGATGCTCCGCCACCAGTCGCACCTGCACGACAAGACGGCGTCACGGGGGTCATGGCCAGGGCATGAGCGGGGAGCAAGGGCCGGTCGGGACCCGCGGGGCGAGGACCGCGGCGAGCACCGGCGCGGGCCCCCGGACCAGCCGGCAGCGGCAGGATGCACTAACCAACGAGTTCCGGTGAGGCAGGCGTCGTCATAGTAGACGTACACCACGTAGGCGATGGTGAGCCACCAGAAGCGGGTGTAGAGGATGGTGTAGACGGTGATGAAGGCCCCGATGAGCGGCCCGAACACCAGCGCGACGAACCAGGCGGCCACGGCCAACGTCTGGAGGCGCCGCCGCAGCGGGATGTTGAGCGGCGCCCACTCGATCCCGAGGAACGCCATCTGGGAGGGAGGGCAAAGATGTTTCACTTATTATTTGCACTGCAGGCCCTCTCCAGCGACCCATTATACACGCGAGGACACCGTGGAATACCATGTGTGTATACCGGGTGTAACTGAGAACACGCAGCAGTGTTACGGGATTGCCTACTCTTTACACCCACAAGGGGCCATGACCCCTGCGGCCATATTGAGTATGCAATCCCGCAACACTGCTGCGTATTCACAGTTACACCCGGCACACTTGTAGGTGTAACGTCATGCGTACGGATGAAGGTAGAAATGAGTGAATTTCGAAGGGAAATTCACACCTTTACTACCTTGAATGTACGGATGGGCATTCACACACCTAGAAGTGTGCAACATTAACACACTTGCGTTTCTAGTGTTCATACACACGCCCAGTGAAAAAATGACTTCAAGAATAACAAGATCATTTATCATTCGCAGGCGGTGCGAGTCGAGTGAAGTGAGTTATGCGATAATGCGCATTGAAATGCACTTAAAAAGTTAGACATAGGAGTGTAATTACACTAAATAACTCTCTGACTCTCTCCCTCCCTCTCCCCTCCCGGTCGGGCGTAACACAACGCGACGAGACGCTCCTTGGATGCCACCGGGTGGACAGCAGGGTAGGTTATTATTACATTGGATGTACTACGCTGCTAGGCCCTGCAGCCCGGCCCTTCACACCCCCCCCCCCC